ATTGTAAAATGCATGGTAGATTGCTTTAATAGATTTGTTTCAATTAGCAAAGTCATTTCAGTACAAATGGGAGTCTTGTTATAAAACATGAGAAGTATGAAATGCAAAATTTGTCTCTGCAAGTTGGATGTCTCAATCATACATGCAAGTCTGGATTATAAATAGCCAGAGCTTACTTTATAGAGCCTGGCCCCAGTCAATGGGCCATTGATTTTGTAGTTCTTTCTTCAACTTGGGCCATTTTTCACTTTCACCCCATCTCTTACTGGGTTTCCTTAACAATTCTATTTAGTTTTCTCCCCTTATTACATCTAGTTCTAAGATATGTGTTTGCTTAGAAAAAAGCAATTCTAGATATTTATAACACCAAACTGTGGAAAAAGGGGTTCCCTTTTATTTACTTTTAAAATAAAAGGATGCTTTCTTGATTCTATAAATAATTTCAGTTATGATTTATTAAAATTAATATATACTTTCTTATGATTATCCTTTTTATCATTCACGGTATGCAGGATTTTATCAGAAAGTGTATAGCAAGGACTACCGTGTAGTACTTCAGCTCCCATTATAGGGGTATATTAAAAAAATATAAGATTTCTCAGCAATTTCTTTTGTTCGTGTTTTTTAAAATAAATTAATGTTCATGAAAAGACACAATGACATTTTCTTATAAGGAAAAAAACTAATTAAATTACTTATTAAGGTAAACAGAATCTAGTTTTAATAGAAAAGTTTGTTAAAATTTAGCGTAATTCATAATGTTTTGTATGTAAAATTGAACCTGTTTTTAGCTAATTTCTCATATAAGGAATAAGCTATTACCTATTACCGTAGGTCTCATGGCAAGAACTAGACCCGGGAACGATTTACTTTTTTGTTTTGAGGTCCCCAGAGGCCAAAAACACCATCCGTTCAAATTAATATATATGCGTCCGTTAGCGCAATAACTCGAGCAAAAATGATCCGATTTTGATAAAATTTGGCACAAACGTGTAGACGTACATTTATTCAAACAAGTTTGCAAACCAGTATAATTGGACTATGGGAACGGGACTTTATCGGGGGTTTTATGGGGTAAAAATTGATTTTTCCCATTTTTACCCTAAAAACAAAAAAAAAAAAATCATAATTTCTCTCCAAACTATTTTGTAGAACTTAAAAAAATAAATAATTTTGTATATTGAAGCATTGTTGTATGCCCAACGGCTACGGAGATAATAAAAAAACATTTAAATTTAAAATTCCCATGTTATTCTTATAGAGATTAAATAAACCTGTTTATGGATATAATTTAACCAAATTTGGAAATTTTGTTTGTTTCATACTAAGCTATCAACATTCAATAAAATAACACACCTCAATATCTCCCCTGTAGCAGCAAACCTAAGTACTCACTGAAATTAATGTTATTTAGATAGGAAATAAATCTGACAATTTTCAGGAAATATTTTAGTAGAAATCCAGCCAGGTAAATGGAAATTTGCTTAGTCTGCAGGTTTGCTGCGGCGGGGATATTTTTTAAAGTTTACGGTAAAATGTTGCAAAATATGGGTGATTTATGAAAACATTGGAAATCAATAGAAAACTCATTTTATTATTCATTAAGCTAAAAAAACAACTGTACAGTGTTTGTCACTCTCAAGTCAATAACCAAACAAGAACTAGATAACGGTAGCTCAGCTCTCAATGTAGTATCAAGGATAAACGATTTATTTTATTTATAAACACATCACTTAGACACTTATATGAGGTTGTGTTGGCGAAGTGACGGTTATAAACTATTTAAACATTTGTATCAGAGCTGTTAGGCCAGTCAAATAGTACAATAGAAATCGCTAAAATCGCAAACAAATGGCTAGTTCTGATTTTTTACTATATTGTTAGGACCCCTACCAGTAGTGTATTTCCAAGTTTGCAGCTTCGAAAGACCTGTGCTAACTCCGTAACACTCGAAAAACCGTGTAATTTGTACATATTTTTATTATTTTTAATTATATCTCCTAAACTTTGAGTTTTTCATAAAACATGTAATTTACGTTTTTAAAGAAGATTAAATTTTCTACAATTTGAGACCACAACCACCTCTGTAGGTATAGTGGTTACCAAGATACAACCCTCAAATGATTGAAATTTTTTCGTAAACAGATTCATTTTTATGAGTTGGTCAACATTCAACACCAAAATCGGAGAAAATACTCATTAACGACTTAAATTATTTGGAACAGATGTTTTAGTAAATTCAATTAGCTTTGCTTTAATTTAAGCACAAAACGACGTCTCTCAGCCTGATATTTCTCTCATAAAGCTAATAAATAAAAATAATGGGAAAACTGTATTTTTCTAAAGTCCTTGATTTTTATTAGCTTGATTTATTGCTAGGCTACCTGCTACCATAATAATCCAACATAATTCTACAAGCAAAGTTTGTAAACCAAAATATAGTATTATTTTGGCAAATCACAGGATGATGGGAGACGACTTAAATTTAAGGTCTAGATCCCAGTTACTTGGGAAAAGATAGTAGCATTCCTAAAAAGTTATAAGTAAACTAGATATTACATAAAATATGCCCCATAAGAAAAGCATAGGGGTTTAAAAACATCTTTGTTTTCAAACTCTCATGTGTTCCTACTTGAGGTTAGGGGCTAAGGCCCCTTCAAGCTACTAGCCTAGTTATTCCCATTGTTATTAGTATCCAGGGTTTGTTTTATTGTAGATATTTTTTTTGTATTAAGTTTATATTGGTAGACCAATTGGGTTGGAAGATGGACCCCATAATAACTTGAAGAAAAAAAAGAGCCTTTACGATTCGTCGCTCAGACAAATTGTGATCGGGTCTATGGTCAGATTTGACCATAGAACAAGTGTTGATGAGGTCAATGAAAAGCCAGGGAGGGTTAACCTATGGTCATGGGATATCAAGTAGCGTTATTTCACGATGGACTGGAGGCATGGTGTTCATACTCAATATTTGCGAGAGCTTGGAGAGGTTTTGGGACATTTCGTGTACCATCAGTGAGCAGCACGTTGATATGAGAGCAGCACAGATTGAAAGAGACACTATTGAGGTTTATTCCATTGCCTGTGCTATTGATGTGGAGAAACTGAAGCTCTACCTTGACATACACCCTCCATTTCCATTGACGGACAAACTGCTTTCCATCAGCAGTGGAATAGTTGGGGCCCCTGAGATTAATTGCCACATGGCTTGAAGAGTCGACAATCATAAAAATGGCCCAGGAGAAGTTGCTGGCCAACGACAGAAACAATCGACGGCTGATTTCTCCGATACGATCCACCTTCCAAAGACATTGAATTTAGACGAAGCAGGCAGTCGAGGATGCTGACTGCGACATCGTCAAATCGGTACTTGACAAAAGCACCTCTTTTCAATCAGTGCTAATCATTGGAGAGGATGTGGACCTCCTCGTTATTCTCAATGGTTTGGGATCAGCTGTGAAGAATGTTTTTTTTTCAGAAAAGTGGCAGAGGTGACTTTGGTCCCTTACAGTATTCGTCAACCTCATTCAATCATGGAGTTTTGAAAGTCCCCTCAGGGTTCGAGTTATTTCTCCACGCCTTCACCGGGTATGACACCTACTCTGCCGTTTTTGGGCATGGGAAGAATAAACTATGGAGCGCCATCCAGATATACCCTCAACTCATCACCATAGCTGAAGTGTTCCTCCAACCTAATTCAACCCACCAAGCCAACTCAGATGCTGGAGAAAAGTGCCTAGTAGGTCTGTATGGAGGAGACTACACCGAGGATACCCTCCAGGGACTGCGCTACAAAATCTTTGTAAAACTGCCGCTTCTTCTAAGGTTGACCTCATCCGTTTGCCCCCCACAGAATATGGTGCAAAATTCCATGCCTTTCGAACCTATCACCAAGCTCAGATGTGGTTTAGGGTGGAAAAAGATGCCATTCAATGGGGATGGAAGAATACAGATCAGGGACTCATTCCAATAACAATGATGAATTAAGTGGATCCCCCCTCCCTTCTAAAATTTACATCATGCTGATGCAAGGAAGAGGTAGCTGTACCTGCCTAAAAGCAGGGCTCAAATGCTCTGTACTTTGCAAATTTTGCTCCGGTGTCTCTTGCCAAAATAGCACCGTGGTTCAGATTGCCGAAGAAGAAGACGACGACGATCCACTACCGGTACCTATTTTTCAACCGAATTGGACAATTTTGAACCTCCCAGGAAGCGGACTCAATGAAATGATTCTAAACCAACAATAACTCTTGTATTTATGCAATTTTATTTATTTTAAACACTGTACATCATTAATAGGCTAAATATATACGGTATTTATTTTGGATGAAAATGGGGTTTTATTTCTAACCATCCTCAAACCATCGTAAGAACTCAACATAGCAAATTTGCGAAAGAAATTTTATTTTCTCAAATTGTATATATTTTAGCATTGTGATATGGCTATCAGGCCTACATAAATTGTTGTGGGCTCAAATTAAAATTCATAAATTTTGCTTCAAAACCCTCTCCAATGGGTTTTCTTATTAAAAAGGTAATTCCTCTGATTTTGGGGCTGGAAGTTGACCAAACCTTAAAATGTTACTTTTTAGAAAAAAATCTCCAATTTTTGGAAAGCTATATCTTGGTAGCTACAGCACCTACAGAGCTCGTTTTGGCCTCAAACTTTAGAAAATTTAATGTACTTTAAAAAAGTAATTTACAAGTTTTATGCAAGTCTCATATTTTAGGAGATATAATGAAAAAACCTTAAAAAAAATGCTAAAATTAGGTGGTTTTTCGAGTGCTACGCTTTTAGCACAGGTCTTTCGAAGCTGCAAACTTGGATATATACTACTGGTAGTGGTCCTAACAACATATTAAAAAATCAGAACTAGCCGATAGTTTGCGATTTTAATGTACTTTATGACTGGCCTATGTATTCAAATTCAATAATTATTGTTTTTTTAAACTTTTCAATAAGATAAAAGAACAAAATGTAAACAAATCTTTCCCTCTCTTTACAGAACAAGCTATACTCTTTAACAATAATTGTATAACATAATTAACACTTTCGGAAAAACTACACATATCCATTCAAAAAAGCGGTTTGCAACTTAATGTTGGGGTTATTAATTTTTGCCATCGTGAGGAGTTTAATCACATTGAAACTCTAATCAATTTCAAACTGTTTATATGTATAAAACAGTAAGTCAAGCTGTAATCAAGATTGCTAACTATTACTTCATTTTTGCTATTACGACTCCAGTGGTGGAAATGCAAAATATTTCTCATTTGGCTAATCTGGTTATCGTCCTTCAGTATTTTTTGGCCTGTATAATTAGGATCCTTAGTGATTTTTGACATCAATTCTGCGTTAGTTGGAGATTAGTTCAAGGGGTTTTGTCCTTGAAGAGGTATCTTTTATGGCTGGGCTCAGACTTCAGAGATCAGGCCTAAGAGACTGATACAGTACTAGCACAACAAAATTAATACAAAACATCTGGCAGCCGTTTCTAACTGACCACCTCAGATAAAAAAAAAAAACTGGCCACACGGTTGACAGAAATACTATGGATTCAAATCTTGTCATCGTTAAGAACAGTGATGTGGTAGTTCACATTTATTTAGTTTTAAATCATACTTTTAAGTATACAAAATTGAAAAAGTCTCTCTAATGTGATGCAACTCCTCAAGATCCCTCTGCGTCTCCATGGTTGGATTCACTCTCAGAGTTGTCCCCCGGTCTGTTGTCGTCTAGGGGTGGCATGAAGATGTGCAGCTGGGGACGGTTAGGGGTGGACTGTGGCGAAGGCCAGGTAGGTCCGTGACGGAGCAGTCGCGGGGGCTCAAAGTTTTGAACAACTGGTAGTTCTTCTGCAGGAGCTTTATCAGCATCCGTTTCTGTTTGACATCCTGGCTTGAGAAGTGGAGGCATCACTGTAGTCAGTGGTGACTTCTTGCGTGTTCGAGAGTCGTGCTGAAACAATTTTTTTAATGTATTGTTGATTTATTTTTTTTGTCCTAGTACACTAGGCTATGGCAAAGGTTTTACCACACTACTTCAGGCTAGACCTAGGGGTTGCGACGTTATTACCTAGATAAAATTCATTGGTGATTTGGGGGATTTTAACCCAGCACCTGAGGGACTAAAGTCCCGTGTTTTACCACTAGACCAGCTCGCTTCCCCAATTGATCACTGGTTGGACGAGCCATCAAGGTTTTTGTTCTGTTGTAAAGTTAGCTCTGTGCTCTCAATTTAGTTTTTATTGTTTAGGATTGTTTTACTTTGTAGGCCTAGCTTTTTAAAAAAGCACAAGAATGGAAATATTTTCACAACAATTTAATTCAGTGACAAATGTCACACTGCAAATGAAAAATGGTGGCAAAAGAAATTCGTAAACAGATGGTTTGAAGAGGCACTTTTCCTATAAAGACTGTAATTTGTAATGAAAACATTCATCGTTACAGTAATTCCAAATATGACTTTTCTACTTGGTCCATTCACAAAATTTAGGTGGTTTGAGAGAAGTTACCCCACTACTTATTTTGCTTAATATATATGTTGCAGCTGATTGGCGTTTTGGCAAACCTCAGCTGTTGAGCTATTATCTATATATATAAAAGAGGAAGTTTGTATATATATTTGAACGCTATGGACTCCGAAACCGCTAAACAGATTGTAATGAAACTTTCAGGCATTATTAAGCATTATTCAAGGATGGTTTGTGTGAAGATTGGTGCAGATCCGTCAAGGGCTTCGCCCCAGTGGCTCTAAAGTTTTCCTTGCTAACCTTATAAGTTCTCATATTTAAATGTAATTAAAGAATCTTGACAGCTGTTTCAACTAAATAATTTGAAAGAACTCCCGGAGGCGAGTGAGCGCAGTGAACGAGCTCCAACCAAAAGGTGAGTGAGCGTAGCGAACGAACTTCAACCAGGCATGATTGAGTGATGTGAATGAGCTCATCTTGAAAATGAACGAGCATTTGACATAAAGCCACATCAGGACAGGACGACGTCTGTCGGGCCAGCTAGTACTTTATAAAGTAGGATCAAGTGGAGGGGATAGATTTCTTCCCCTAAAACTGCCTAAATTTTGTGAACGGGGTATAGCAAAAAATTCAATTATTATGTACTTTAATATTTTTTTGTGATAGCTCCATTTTTCTTGTATTACTAAAATCTAGCTTCTTCTGGTTTTCCATTGTTGGCCCTAAATAAAAATTAATTTGACTAGTGTTCTGCTTGATAGGAAAATTTATCAATATAATCAATTACTTATTTTATTGACGAATTATTCATTAGCGTTGCATATCAGATTGTAATCTGTCATAATTTGATTTTTTATTACTTCCACTCACCACGGATCTCGCTGACAGTTTCGTGTCTGAGAGAATGTCCACACTTAGTCTCCTCTGCGGCAGTTCTCTTCTCCGAGACAAATGTTGTTTTCTATTATCCAGCATCTGCGATTTCTTCTCTTCACGGTTGATTTCTATCTGCGGAAATGGATTTTTTCTTGAGAAACCCAATTAACGACACAGTTATATTTATCTCAAGATCCCCCCAGTCTATGTCTATTAATTAATTATGTCTGCAAAATTCCAATTAATAGCTCATTCCCTATATGGGAAATTCGCTAAAAGCTGCTGAAGACGATTTATTAAGATTTGTGTATTTTATGTAGAACATGTATTGTTATTTACAATTTGTTTTTGTATGATCTTGTAATTTGACCAGTTTCAAAAGATTTCAACTGAAAATAAAATCTATGTGTAAAGTAATTCTTTTCCATGGCATTATAACCGAGGAACACAAAATGGTTAAGGAGAAAAACATTTAGATGATTTTAAGCACACTCAAATGTCACATAATTAAACAAACATTTAAACAGACCTCATATTTTTACAACGACAAGTCTACTTGCAAAAAAATTCAATGTTTGGGAATGTTATATTGTAGTATGCCCAAATTCTGACTTGGTTCCCAATGTTAAAACAACAATTCCTTGATATAGAGAACAGTGAGGATTGGTGAGTCTGTGGCTCATTCAATTGTGCCACAGACTTAGGGTTCAAGAAAACGATGTCGTGGGTTCAGATCCAGGTACCTGCCACTACTTTTTATCAGTACATTTCACCCTTGTACTGTACCGGGTCATCCCTTGCTTTGCTGGTTAAGTTTCGCGCTCCGGCCTCTGAGGCCCATGTGGACAGACAAATGCAAGATAAATTATGCCTCCGACCTCTTAAAAAATAATCCAGAAGTTATTTATTTTCTTTGTACCTATCTATCCAACTAGTTAGAATGGTCCAGATTGCAAAATACTATTTATCAATTATACTATACATCTTATGTGTGACTTGAAGCCAATACTCTCCCAAAAAGTAGTACTACATTATCTTTAGCTACAGCACTCTCCGTCCTCATTTGAGGTCAGACTTTTAATCTAACGTTAAAGATTCCTGTACCTACCTCCCTGTGAATAGCAGTGTGAAGTCTTTTTCCTTTTCCGGATAGATCAAGCCATTGTAGGACTCTTTCTGATAATGGGTTCAGCTGTAGCTCAGGCAGGAATGATACTTGGTCTGCTCGGTCAAACGAGTACACCTAAAATCAAATAAATAAACAGTATCAGCAATCTAACACATACTTTCTCTCATTAGCTTGACAAAAACCCTTATATTAGTCAGCGGTGGGAGTAACTATGATATTTTATGGGTAAAATCATAAAAGTTTTTTTTTTTTTTCAAACCAGAATATCTAAACAGCATTTGTGCCATTTTGTTTAAAATTACCGTAACATACTAAATTTTTATCAAATCATTCTAGCCGTTCATGTTAAAATTAGATTTTTTCGTTATTTTATGAATGGGAAAATCACCATTAAAAACAAAATTTTCAAAAATGAAAGAAAAATACGTGTGGAACCACCATGGCACCCACATTCTGTATTTCATCAAAATCGGACCACAGGTGTGGTCTGTAGCTCTATACACTTCCACACACATATATATCACTTCAAAAACCACTTTTCCAGGTTCAGAGGGACCCAAAATGGAAATTCCCACCTAAAACTCAAACTCTCTGAATTATTTTCATAGGACTTAACATATAACTACAACATTATGCTTTGGAAAAACTGTTTTAAGTAATTTACTGCCATTATCTTTATACAAGTAAATAATTTGTAAGAAGTAAGCTCAATTGGTTTGTTATTTTCTTACACTCTTACTCATGCTCATTTATACCTAAGACTGTTTTTGGCCTCACCAACTAAATACTCTTGGTCGTTCCATATTTTTTTACCATAGGTTCATCAATTCTCCTTTTCACATTTACAGTCCAATTCAAACATGTGATTTTTTCTTGGTTTATCAATACATAACAGTTAAATACATCGCAAAGATTTCAATTTTATTCTCAAATTTCATTTGTCATTACAAAATATCGTACAATCTAATCTTTACTTACTATCAATCAATTTTTACCTTGAAAAGTTGGATTAATTTTTTAGCACAGTTTTTCAAACTACCTTAGGATACTGTCCGAGCAGCGGAAGACGTCTCTGTGGTAGTTCGTAGTCATGGTCGTTGTCAAAGAGAGAGTCGGAATCTTCATGATCGTAGCATTGCGACGCCTCCACTGTACCTTGTCTTATGGGGTAGATAGCATCCTTCAAACTGCCCTGAACAGAACAAAACTAATTATAACGGAATACTTCGATTAGTTAAATCGGAAATATTTACAATCAGAGCCATCATATAAAAATTATTAGTATAAAAAATTCTGTGATATAACTTTTTAAATCTGTTGACATATCTTTTTGAAACTCTCTTGATATTATATAATTTAATTAATTTTGTACCTCAATGAAAAGCATTTTTATATTCTCTAGCAAAATAAATTCATAACTTTTAACAAATGTTTGGTGATAGTCAATGGTGATAGGCATAAGAAATTCATCTCTTCTATCCAAAATATAATAAACTAGCAGAGTACCCGTCCTTCTTACGAGGTTGGCATAAAAGTATAAAATGCTTATTGCAGTTATACTCAAGCTTTGCGTTTGCAATGGGGGAGAACACAGTTTGATAAAATTTGCTTCTTTTAATTTACAGTTAATTATAGTATTACACATCTAACCATAGCTATAATGTTCTGCCAATTCACCTAAACAATAGAGAAAAATAAATTATCAAAAATTCGCAAAATATCACAAATTAGTCATGAAATTAAAAATATAAACTTAACTGTAAACAATCCTACTCTGACAGTTCTCATTGCGTATCACCCTGTTTTGGTAATGTAATATCTGGAATACTATAAACAGAGAGAAAGTTAAATACAGTCCACACAATCCTTTATATAGGTTTACAGATTGCAATTGTCCAAAATGTTAAAAGAAAAATTGAATTTTAATTGATATCATTTATGTGAAAATTAACTCGAACAATCAATACTCACCCGGTAAGAGTCGGGATGAAGTGCGAGTCGCAGCTTGATGAGACAATCTTCCAGAGGACAGCCGAGACAAGAGTCGGAGGAGTCAGAGGACGAGTCTGAGGCGCCGATGGAGGAGGATGGTCTGGGCAGACGTACCAGAGGGTCGTCTCGTGAGAGGATGGCGTGGCGACGACCGTCCACCCAGACTGTCCGGACAAAGAGAGGACGCTGAGAGGACTGCCACCTCGCTCCCATGTCTCATCTGGTAAACGGAGAACGGATAGATAAAACCATGAGAAAACCACACAATGAAGATTATTGAGTGTTTGGGAAAACAATATGATGAACTTTAAGTAAAAAAGATGGAAAAAGATGAAGAAAGGAAAAAATTACCTGGAAAATCTTGAGTAGAAACACACAAACATGATCATGTTTGGGTGTACAAAACAAATACAAGATGAAGTTTAGAATTCCAAGCTAAGTGTTTGAGTGTGAAAACACATTTGATAAATATGGATAGTTTGGAAAACAAACAAAACATTTTCTGTTAAACATACATTATGGGTGATTATGTTTTGACTATTTGTAGAAATGCACTTAAGGAATTATGACTTTTAAAACACATATGATAAAATTTCTGTGTTGGAAACACATTTGTTATGTTTGAGTGTAAAAAAAAACATACATGATGAATGATGAAGTTTGAGTTTTTAAAATTACTTGATAGGTTTGGGCGTTGGAAAACACTCTCATTATGAAGTTTAAGTGTTTATTAAAAATCACGTTGATGTTTTAATGGATGTTAAAAAAACACACACTAGCCAATTGAAGTCTTAAAAACGTAGATTTGTATTAGAAGTGATTGGAGAAAAATGAAGTTTTATTGTTTAGACAATAATATATTGTTAAAGTGGTTTGAAAAAATCTGATGAAGTTTAAAACTAACACAAATAAATCTTAAAATGTGTTTCATAAAAATTACGCGAATTTCAGTAACTATACAGGATTTTTAGACGACCGACGTGAATTTGTGGACGTGAATTGATGGTCGTCAGTATAATATGGCATCGTGCAATCATTAATATTGCGCAATAATGATATTTTATGAATCACTAAACTTAGTTTCAAATATTCTGTCACGTTTTAAATCACCTCTTACTCAAACTCTAGAACGATGAAACAAACCCGTATAAAGTCTTCTGCTAGTGACAGGTTACTGCCGTTTTACCATTGCAAAATGGAAGTATGGAAATGAATAAAACAGACAGGTGCTAATAATAATTGTAAAGCATTTATGTTCCCTTGATTTAAAACAAATTATGTCGGTAAACGATAAAAAATTACAACACTCAAAAAAGTGTCAAAACAAACAATGAAATTTGAGCATTGGACACGATCAAGTTTGAATATTTAGGAAAAAAATCATGCATTATGGATAAAAAACTACCCGTCGAAGTTGATTGTTTGAGAAAATCGCAGATGATGCAGAGTGTTCATAAAATATTTAAGTTTTACGTTTGAAATGAGTACTTAAGTTTGAGAACTAAGTAACTTAACAATCTACAGAAGTTAGCAAATACTTTATATTAGAACCACAACAAATACATTTTTGAATACTCTTCCAAGTATTTGGACAATGTCAAAAACATTTTCTAATTCGTTTAGGCTACAAGTTTGCTATACAAATTGTGTCCATTTTCAACTTGAGTGTTTTACGAATACCGTTTACAGTTAACCTATGATAAGACAGATGTTTAAATACACAGTTGCGTATCTCGGGCCAGGAAGTGGGTTACTGTAGTTGCGTGGAATCGATGGTGAAATGTCACAGACGCTCGTCGGCTGTCTACTAAACTAAATGCCTCGGAATTGCACCCTCAGCCCTCCTCATCTCTGGGATACAAATACATCCACCCTCTGTGGTGGGGGTTGTTTACATACGATTAAATAAGCTTCACACGCCAATACAGTTTACCACGCATGCGAAGATTAGTGGTGGTGTAATTTTAGATAGAATTTTGTAATCTTGACCTTGATACAGTAGGGTCACAGAAAAATGAGCCGATCGAATTTAATTGTCTAAACAATATGTATGTATTTTTTATGACATTAGTTCAAAAAACTGTATGATTAAACATAAACAAATTACGTCACTGGCCTGATACTAATAACCTAACATCTGAACAGTTCAATTAGAATATTACAGACATGTTTAATTTCTGGTCAGTGGCGTCATTTGTTTATGTTAATGATCCATACCGTTTTATGTTCTAATATCCATGGATAGTACTATGCGTTCCGCATTAGTGGTGTTCGGTATTTTTCCGGTCAGTTTTCGTGCGGCTTAACCTTTTGTTATTTGTATGGATCTGAAGTATTGCAGGTTAACCTTTTTAGATTAAATATGTTTTGATCAGCAACACCTCCCGCATGTAATCGCTTAACTACTTCTCTACAGTGATTCATTTTCTGTGAGTTTTAAAATGTGTAGAATAGGGTGATAATCCAGTAACCTAACACTTTTTACCTTGCATGAAATGGGGTAGTAGGATTCTTTTTTTATGTTGTTTGTAATAGTACCGAGATGCTAAATCCAAATTTTCGACCTCGGCGACCTTCCGGATCACCTCCAAAAAGCTTAAAAATCGGCGGAATTTCGCACTATTTTTACGTTTGTCCGATTTTGGCCCTGAAGCATTACTTTTTCATGATGAACAACCAGAATACTTTTTAAAGTACACTAAATTACCTATAATTTAAGACCAAAATGGTTATTACAGGTCTAATAGTTTTCAAGATATGACTACGAAAACAACGGCTAAAATTACAACATTTTGAATTTTTTTAAGATCGGCAAACGTTAACCGTTGCGTTAACCCTAAAGCATAACTTACTAATTATTTTTCATCAAAACAACCATAATTACTATAAAACTACATTAAATTACTCACAATTTAAGACCAAAATGGTCATTATAGGCCTTGAGAGATATGCCTCTTATAAAATCTTCCATAAATGCTTGTATTTTAAGTTTCAAGCTATTCAATTTGGTCAAGTTTTATAAAATAAACCATAATAAGAAATAAACAAATTTATTTAATTTCAAGAACAGATTGTGTTATAACAATTTATTTTTAAATGAAAATAAATCTATCTACATAAACACACACGTACATTGTTACAATAAATGGTTCTCGGGGATACAACACAGGCCTGTGACGAACGGTATTATGTAATTGTATCGCCGCGGGAACCGGTTGGAGAACACTGAGGGCGACTGCGTCTGTGATTAGATTATACTTGTACCTTTGGACATGGACTCGTCCTGTAGGGGCATCAGTTGAAGATTGACTTGTATGACTAACTTGAGACGATTGGATGTGTGAACTATAGTTATTTAGCTTTTCATTCAATTGGGACAAGTGTAATGGTGAAAATCCATGTGTGAAGAAGTACTTGGATTCTTCACCCGACTTCTTCAGAACGCATAGCCTGTAAGACAGTGTGAGGGGGCCAATAGTCACCTTTATATTGCCAACAGTCACAGTATTAACATCAGAAGAAAGAAAACTTGGCATAAAAAAGTAATATATAGCATAGCAGAACGACAGCAAAGTTAAAACTTGTTTTCACTGTTGGCTCTTCATACTTTATATCAATTCCTCTTCATAGTATAAACATTTTAATTAGGCCTACAATGGATTTCTTCCATAAACAAAATTATAATATGTTGTTGAAATGAAATAAATTTGTTTATATTCTTATTATGGTTCTTTTATAAAATTTGACCAAATTAAATAACTTGAATCTTAAAATACAAACATTTAAGGAAGATGTTATGAACCTTGAAGAGGCATATCTCTCAATATGTTGGGTCTATAATCACCAATTTAGTCTTAAATTGCGAGTAATTTAATGTAGCTTTAAAGTAATTATGGTCGTTTTAATGACAAATAATTATAAAGTTATGCTTTAGGGTTAACGTCAACCAAACTTCAAAATTTTGTAATTTTAGCAGTTGATTTTTAAGCTTTTTAAGCTTTTAAGATTTTAAAGCTTTTTGGATGTGATCCGGAAGATCGCCGAGGTCGAAAATTTGGATTTAGCATCTCGGTACTATTACAAACAACATAAAATAATTTATAAATAAAAATACTTTTTAAAAATGCCACGTTTTTAAACGCACTAAAAAGTATAAAATAATTTATAAAATGTTGAGAGAATAAATACTTGTAAGATTTAAAACGAAAAACGTGGGGCGCATGCTGATTTACAATTAGCTTCACCTATTGAACTACTGTATTATGATCTATTGCATGCGCCCCACGTTTTTCGTTTTAAATCTTACAAGTATTTATTCTCTCAACATTTTATAAATTATTTTATACTTTTTAGTGCGTTTAAAAACGTGGCATTTTTAAAAAGTATTTTTATTTATAAATTATTTTCTAGTTTTTAGTCTTTAATGTGTAAATATGTTAAATCTATTTTATATAGCCTCTTAATACACAACCAAAATCCAAAACCTTATTATCTGTTTAGATGTTTTATCTTTACTTTGAAATTATTGTTTTATATTTTTACAATATCTTGGGAGCAGAACCTGTACCTCTTATCCTCTGCTCTTCTAACTGTCAAATTTAAGTATTTGATATATTTACATCCTTTCAAAATGTAAACATGAAAAATTTGGAAGCCCATGGGGCGTAGCCCAAGGGTAATACGAAAATTAAATGATATAATATTGCATTGTCATCCATTTGTGAGCTATGTTTCAAATTTCAAGTCTCTAGCTCATCGGGAAGTATCAAAATTTGCAAGAAAGCGAGTTATAGAAACAAGCCCTTGGGGCGTAGCCCAAGGGAAATATGAAAATTAAATGATATAATATTGCATTGTCATCCATTTATGAGCTATGTTTCAAATTTCAAGTCTCTAGCTCATCGGGAAGTATCAAAATTTGCAAGAAAGTTATTTAATAAAAACAAACCCATGGGGCGTAGCCCAAGGGAAATATGAAAATTAAATTATATAATATTGCATTGTCTTCCATTTGTGAGCTATGTTTCAAGTTTCAAGTCTCTAGCTCGTCGGGAAGTTAGTATAAAATTGATTTCAAAATTTGTACCGGGCAAGAAAGCGAGCTAATAAAAACGTTTTAAAAAGAAACCTACTACCCCATTTCATGCAAGGTATACCCTGATTTTTATAACAAGGTTACTGGGTTATGAATCTGTGTAGTTATGTTATCTACTAAGAACA